TTTTTGGGGTTTTGTTTTCTCCAAGGTATATCATCTTTTCTTTTTGTCTACTAGGTTAAGTTAATTTCTTATTTATTTAAAGATAATGGAAGTTAGAGTCCAAGGGTTCTGGTTTCCTTTGTATGACGGTACTGACCATAGGATGACATAGTATACTCACTTAGTGTAACAAATTTACTCAAATAGTAACTTTTGGGAGTTTAATTTAAAGTTATTAACATGCTATGTGGTGTTAGAAGTAACGACGTTTTTCTCCTAAATAATAAAATGAAGAGTTGTTCTATTTAAATCACGCACTTCTCTTTGTTCACTCCATATTCTAAGTTTACCTTAACTTCTAATTCAAATTTTCACAATTTCTGAGAAAACCACACTTTCTTCATAAACTACTCCTAAATACACACAAAGCAGAAAAAATAAAAATAAAAACTTCATTAACCTCACACCCCACACCCTCGCTATCTTATCTCTTACCACTCTAAGTTCACCTCAACCTCACATTACTTAAAGAGATAAAAAACAATGTTGTCAAATGTGTAGCATTATTATTATTATTATTATTATTATTATTATTATTTTAAAAAAATTTAGAGTGAATTAGGACGAAAGATGGATAAATACCCTGCTGGAGATGGTATTAGTAAACGCATGAACAAGAGGTAACAAGAGCATCTTGCTACTTCAAAAAATAAAAATTATGTGTCAATTTGATCCACCTAACAAATTAATATTTCTACTGTCTAATTCGATATTTATACAATATAATTTCATATTCCAATTCTATATTTCAAAATGGGAAAAATGGGTGGTGGTCATACTTTACTCTCTTTTTTTTTTTTTAAATTCCAAAAGAGATTTTCTATTTAAACCCTGCACTCTTCTTTGTTCACCCTAATAATTAAATCATTAAGCTGTAAGTTTTATTATTATGTACAAAGACAAAAAAAGGTCATCCAACTTAATAATTAACCTTAGTACATCTATATACACAACCCACCACTCTTCATATTAAGTTTTAGAAACCTCCTTCCATCTTCCTGTTTACAAACTCTCTCTCTCTCTCTCTCTCTCTCTCTCTCTCTCTCTCAAGTTCTCAACTCAACAAGACCCAAGTGTTAGAATTTCAGTTACAGTTCTTGGGGAGAGGTAAAGTTGTTTTCTTTCTCTAGAAAGTATTAAATTTCAAATTTGGGGTTTCATTTGTTTGTGTTTTTTTTTGCTAGGAACTAAGAAAATTGTGGGGGTTTAAATATAAAATCTCTTTTAGTTCTTATTTTTTTAGTTTGAGGTGAATTCAAGGGCAGTTTGGGAAGATAGAAATTGTAAAAATTCAAATTAAAAATTGGGATGAACTAAGAGAAGTGTGGGGTTTAAATAGAAAATCTCTTCCAAAATAAGGTCTTAACATCTTTTGATAAAACAAACTTCTCTTTAATAATCTTCGAAAAAATAAAGGTGTAGAGGAGTTTGTGTTTTTTTAAAATTTAATAGGAAGAGTAGTGGGGTGTGTTTATAGACGTACTTGGGTTAAGTATTAAATTGGATGACATTTTTTGTCTTTTTACACAATACTAAAACTTAAGAGCATCCATAATGATGCTCTCTATTTCTTAGCTAAAATTTAGCTAAAAATATAATAAAGCTATTTTAGGAGCTCTCTAAAAAATTTCAACTCCAACCATACTCCCTAATTTGGAGAGTCATAAATACTATAACTCTTTTTTGATTGGTCCATCTCTATTAAAAAAATAAAAATACAAATAGTTAGCATTAAATAAATGTTTGAAATACTCATTAAATAAAGTAGCATTAAATTATAAGGAGCCACTATGAGTTCTTTCTCTCTCCTCAGATTTAGGAGCTCCTAGAGGACTCCCTATTTTAGGAGGTGGATAGGGAGCATGGTTGGAGTTACATTTTTACAATTCCTCCCTAAATTTTGTCTAAGGAGGTGGTTTAGGGAGCCCATTGTAAATGCTCTAAGAGCATCCACAATGATGCTCTCTATTTCTTAGCTAAAATTTAGCTAAAAATATAAGAAAGCTATTTTAGGAACTCTCTAAAAAATTTCAACTCCAATCATACTCCCTAATTTGGAGAGTTATAAATGCTATAACTCTTTTTTGATTGGTCCCTCTCTATTAAAAAATAAAATAAAAAATAGATAGCATTAAATAAAAGTTTGAAATACTCATTAAATAAAGCAGCATTAAATTATAGGAAGCCACTAGGAGTCCTTTCTCTCTCCTCAGATTTAGGAGCTCCTAGAGGACTCCCTATTTTAGGAGGTGGATAGGGAGCATGGTTGGAGTTACATTTTTACAATTCCTCCTTCAAATTTGTCTAAGAAGGTGGTTTAAAGAGCCCATTGTGGATGCTCTAAGAGCTTAATGATTTAAGTATTGGAATGAGTAAAGAAAAGTGTGGGGTGTAAATAGAAAAACTCTAAAATGAATAGTCCCGTTTTCTTGGACCACATGGGTCTAAGAGACTTGTGGTTATCCACCCTTAGATTTAATCAAAGGGCTAAGAAAAATTTACTTTAAAATATATTTTTTCTTTTCTTTTAAATATCACTTTACCTTTTTTTGTTAAGTGAAATTTAAAAAGTAAAAGAAAAAAGATATTTTATAGTAAATTTTTCTCAGTCCTTGGATTGAATCCAAAGGTGGGTGACCACAAGTCTTTTGGACCCCTGTGGTCTAAGAGAACGGGACTGATAAAATGAAAATAATGTTCTACAACTAACGTTCAAACGGGAATGATCTTCTTAATCATTAACTAGCAAAACTAATTTTTGTATGAAAATTCAGAAACCAAATTTTAATCAAGTCATTTACTCTTGTAACTTTTGGTTTTGACTAAATTTGCATAAGATGTAGTAGAGCGCAAGTGCAGCTATTTTATTTGAAAAAATCTTCTTGACTTTTTCAAATAAGCTAAGCTAGCTTCCTATCTAGGGTATCAAATCCCACGTTCATTGCGAATGGCAAGTTTCACGGGATAGGAAAGAACTACCTTTCCTTCTCATAGACTCATACCATTTGTGTTTTGGTTGTATAACTGAAGCATCCTCCTTCCCTTTAACCTTCACCAAGGATGAAGAGAAAACAAACAAGTCACGAGAAAGTAGAAGAGCCGAAATTTTCCTCTCTTTTTTGGGTATTTATTTGGGTAAGAGCTTTTAAATTTGTGTGCGCTCAAAAGTTAAAGAGGAGAGACTAGGAGGTTTTGAAGGGCAGTTGAGAAAATGATAGTGATAAAGAAGTGGTAGCTGCACCATGAATACATGTTTTGTGATGTGACATATCTATCTTTTCCTTCTTCTTTTTTCAATGTTGCTTAAAAGAAATGTCACTAAACAAATAATTAGTTGGCGAAATACGTTTGTTATTCGTTATTTTATTTTGATCAAATATTTAGAATTTCATATGTCTTTTGTTAAATTATTTTTCATCAAACAATACAGTTACAAAACCGATATACAAAAATGGCATCGTTAAAGCTTTCTTAAAGAAAATCCAATTAAAAAAACTTCAAGATTAAAAAAAAAATACCACACATATCATTACAATGATGCTAACACACAACTATTCAACGGTGTTATTATTGCCTTGTTAAAGTATTTAATGGTATGTATATGATGTGTTGTTCAAATGCGAATTTACAAATGAAGGTTCAATAATAAAAAGTACTTGGTTTACTTGGCATATTTAGGGATAAAAAAGTGCATATGTATTTTATATATTTTTAATGAGTTGTTCATAGTATTTCTCACCCGCCATAAGACATGCAGCCAAAAGTACATACTAAATCAAAGAAGTGATTGATTGAACTTGCATTTTACTCAAATTGCAGCACTTTTCCCCGCCCACTTTGGCTTTTAACAATCTCATTAATAATTAAGAACATCGGATTGGTTGTTTTTATTGTAGTTAATCATGATCTTCGTCCATGATTATATACCAAAGCCCCCCCCACTAGCAATTTGACAAATAGATGACAGCTGAGCTAACTTATCTCATGTCATGTGGGAACATCGCAAATTGCCACCAGAAAGATTTAATAATAATAATAATGTATGGTTGCTTTGTTGTTGGCAACGACTTTGCTTGAGATTTGGAAACGGCTGCCGATTTCTTTCAACTTGTTTAATTTTGTGGATCAGTCAAGAGTCTCAAGTTTTGGAGTAAGAATGTAGAAGAAGGGCCACTATAAAGAAAAGTTGAAGAAAAAAATACCTCCACATCCACACGCCATACAATGACTCATAAGTCACATCATAAACATACATACCTTCCTCAGATCCCAACTGACAAAGGTCTCCCTCTCCACGTTTTTGTTTTTTGGGATTTTGTCTAGGTTAGTCACGCATTTATTTTCTATGTGTGAGTGATTTCTGATTGTAATTGACTTACATATACGTACAAAGAAAAACTAACTATATACATAGATAACCGTAACCCTAAAGAACATATATAAATTGTATATTCAATCATTATTTTTCCTTTTTCCATACTTTTTTCCATGGTAGGAAGAAAATCTCACTACTCATGTCAAAAGTTATGAAATAAATCACATGCGGATCACATACTTATTATACAAAGTCGAATTTTGTACATGCACAAATCCAATTTAAGATAATGTTTTGTAATTTCAACTTCTGACATTTGAATTTATAGGTTATTTATTTTATATTTATTTAAAGAAATTTACTATTATACCTGATATAGGATTTTCTCATGCACTCTCTTGTACAAGGTATGGCAGAGGAATAAGGTATGTCAGAGGAATAAGATTTTTTATGTCCTTTGCCTTGGCTGATTGGACAGTTGCATGGCTCACACATCTCTGAGGTCCTTTTCACTACCCTTTTCTATTTTGCAAATTCCCAATAACATCATTCACACAAGATTCTTGCTCTTTTTTCTACATTATTTTATTGCCCTTCTTGAATCATCTTCCTCTTCCTCTTTTTTTTCCTTTTTTTTTGTTGTTGATAAATTTGTTGTTATTATTACCTTCACAAACTCATTAGTTTTATTTATTAAAAATGATTTTCTTTGTTGTCATGATTGTGATGGGTTGGCATGCTCGCAGGAACTCTGGCTTTTCTAGATTTCTTTGACACATGTTCATCTTCTTCCTGTGACATGTCTTTTGCTTTCTGCGTTGTCCTCAGAATTCAGACAGTTACAGTTTATCATAAACCAATTTGGATTCAGAGTCACAATTGAGCTCTTATTGATTATTTTTTTTCTGTGGAATTATTTGTTTGTGGGGATTCTGTCAGGAATTCAATTCCCCAAGGTGAGTTTATGCAATTTTTGGGTCATTTATGAAAACTCTCTCTCTCTCTCTCTCTTCTTTGTTTTATAGCATCATCTGCAGGTCATCTGCAGGCTTTGGAATTACATGTTGTTTTCTTCTATCGAATTGTGGGGTCAAAAAGAGACGACTTTAATGGTTTCCTGATTGAATTTGGATTGCCGTTCACATGCGTGCTTTTCTCGGAGCCTTCTGTTTTTGAATTTGGCAATTGGGCCAGAGTGAAAAATTGCTTCTTTCAACCAATTCGGGATTAATTTTGTGAAAAACAGGTAACTTCTCTTTTCAAAATTTTATCTGCAATCCTTATTGAATTTGATTTCTGCTGAGTTTCCTTCTTTCCTTCTAATTTCTGTATATTTATTGGATCCTGTAGATTTTCATGTCTCGCAGTCATCTTTGAATTCAACTGGTGCAACAATTCTTGATAAGAAACCTTGGAATTTCATACGCTACAAAAATTGCTGCTCTGGTTTTGTGCAAATTGATCATGATGATTGTGTCAGATGAGTTTTATGTGCTTGGGATGATTTAAAATTCTGGATTTTGTGGGTTGAATCTTAAATGGACGTGCCTCCTTATTGTAAGCACTTCAAAGTACACGGTTGCCACTTGAATTCCTTTGCATGCAAATGTGTTGTTTTAGCTTTCATTGCTCTGATTCTCAGAGCTGTTCTGCTTCCTACGTTCCATAGTTTTGGTGGAGCTGAACAGAGCAAGTTGGTCTTCATCAGTAACCTCTCTTTGTCACTCGGTCATAAATTCGGAATTAGAAAAGATAAGTTTTTGGAGGTTCCTCAAATTGTATGGGGCTTAAACAATCAAAAGATTGCGTTTGCAAGAGCTTGTTTAACTGCAAAGTTTCTGAACCGGACTCTTTTGATGCCTAGCTTGAGTGCTTCCCTGTTCTACAAAGAAGTCGAGCTCTTGGAGCCTATTTCCTTTGATAAGGTGTTCCAGTTCAAGAAGTTTAATTCTCTCTGTAATGGCTTTGTTCAACTGGGCGAGTTCTCGGATCTTAGAAACCAAACGGGAGCCTTTGAGCTTCAGAAAGGAAGTGGAAGGAGGTGGACACCTGAGAGAGATTTGGATCAGTTGAAACAGCACAATGAGGATCCATATAATGAGTTTGACGTGATTCGAATCATTGGAAAGAACCCGTTTCTGTGGCACGATCATTGGCCTGTGAAGGACTATGCGAAGGTGTTTGAGTGCTTGGTTCTGGTTGATGAGATAATGAATGAAGCAGATAAAGTTGTGTCCAGGATTAGAGATATAGGAGCAACACAAGTAAGAAGCCAGAATGAGTCTCCACAAAATGGCATTAACCCGGCAGAGAAGCCTTTCTTGCAGCCAGTGCCTTATGTGGCTGTACATATGAGGATAGAGATAGACTGGATGATTCATTGTAAGAAGCTAGAGCAAAGATCAAACATAACTCAAATTTGTAGCAGCAAGGAGGAGATCATGGAGAGAATGGGCAACATTGCTGGCCTGAAAACACCAGTCGTTGTTTATTTAGCTGTGGCTGACAGTCTTCTTCATGATCCATCTATTTTGAGTGGCTGGAAGGAAGGCTTGATTCCTTATGAGAAGAAGAAATTGGGGCTTGAAGGGACTTACAAGAAGTTCCCTTATCTCATTCAGTCTGCAATTGACTATGAAGTGTGTTTAAGGGCCGATGTCTTTGTGGGAAACAGTTTCTCCACATTTTCGAACCTTATAGTTCTCGATCGAACGCAGAAGCTCATTAGAATGGGCGTCACAAGCTCATGTGGTGTGGATGTAAGGTGGCCTTCTTATGCATACAACATATTAGGGGAAGCAAAAGGCCCTCAAAGATGGATGACAAACATGTCTGGCTCAAGTCTTCAAGCAATTAGCTATGGCTCCAATGACATTTCGTGTTGTGTTGATCCTTAGTTTTTCTATTGGTGGACATCTTCAAGGCTCCACCACTTCTTGTACTCTACATCATCCAGCCCCTCCTGCGCAATATTTTCGGTATAGTTACAAAGTTCTTTTTCCCCTTTATAGTGAACGTTAAAATTGCTGTTGAATGGATGTAAATTTCTTATTTTTTATTTCAAATGTAAGTTCCATTCTATTGGTTTTTTTTTATCTTGATGGCTTATATTTTTTTACAAATTTATAAATAAACCCAATCCTAGACATGTATTTATAAAAAAACCCAAGCACTATTTAAACATAGAAACACACCCAAAATCAACTCCAAAGTCAACTTTTTGGGTGTGTTTATAAAGTGTTTTGGGTGTTGGGTTTTTTTATAATTTCAACCTCTATTTTGGGTGTTTTAGTGAAACTCCCTATTTTTTTCCTCTCCGGGTTGGATTTCTCACTATGTGTTAATGAATGTTGCTATTCTCTTGGCATGAATTCTTGTAGGATATTGATTTTATTGAGTTTGTAGTAAAACAAGAGCATGCCCTCATAAAATTTTAACAGGAAATGGGGTTTTTTTATGTTGCTCATCCAAATACAAGCTTTCTAACCACTTTTTCCTTCTCTGTGTCTCTCTGCACCTGTTTTCTTTCCATAATGGAAGGATGATGGAACAGATGACCAAAACAAACAGATAAAGACAGAAGGAAATGGAATGGGACAGTCTTTAGCACAAGCAAGGAATTAAGTTATTTGGTACTTGATTTTTTATTTTTTGTGGTGGGTCATGTCCTTAGCTCTCAACTTTGAGCCTTTTTGGCCCATCATCTGTGTGTATTTATTTGACTTGTTGAAAATTCTTGCTCATTATGTTTCTTTGCTTCCCCAGTGGGACCTCAATGTTTTGGCTGTTTTTTCTTTGTTGATTAGCCCTCAAACTTCAGACATCAAGATCTGTAAAGGGGTCAATCTAATTTGCAATTTGCTTTGAATTAGTCAAGTTTTGGGGCATTTTAGGCACTATTGCTTTCAAATTTTGGCTTTAAATGCCAAAAACTTGAGACCCTGTGAGGCTTTGAGAAAAAAGTTTAGGGACTCTGGATCAAAGTTGTAATCTTTATGCATTAATTGGCTAACTGGCCATTGGAAAGCTAAAATTGGACAACTTGTCTGCTGCATGGTACTTGTTTCTATTTCTATTGCAGAAAAACACAACAGAACAGATGATCTTCTCCAGAACAGATTATCTATAAATATCCAATGGTGAAACGAAAAGCAAAAGGTGTTTGGCATGGGCCAAAATGGGCCAAACCCAATTATTGGAGCAAGATATGAGTCGGCCTGTGGGTTGAAGTTGGTCCAACCAAAGTGAGTAAAGAAACTCCCAATGACCACAATGATCCAAAATTTATGAAGTGCTTGAACATTGGTTAGGATTCAAAATTTCTCTAGATGTTGCGGTGAAAATATATTTGGGAGAAAAAGTTGCAGATGGGTCCCAAACATACCCAACAAACTCATTTTCATGCCAACTTATAGGTTTGATATAATTGAAGCCACTCACTCTTGCACGAAATTTCCATTTAACATCTGGAAAGGGTTTGATTGAAGCCACCCTACTAATAGCTACCCCTTATCCAAATTGAGACGTGTCCTGTAAACACTACACAAAACCAAATAACACATTCACCACTACAACAATCACAATAATGACTTGTTCCTGTTGTTAATGGTGGTGGGTGAGTTTGGTATCTTTCCCATTTTCTTATAATGGGAAGCAAGAAGCAAGATGGGACAACTAAGCTCAATGCATATTGTCATGAAAAACAACCATATTTTTGGCGACTTTCAAATAATTGAAGGGAAGAATCAACTCTTACTTTGATGAGTATTTACAGTGTTTCCCATCTCACAGAGAGAGAGAGAGAGAGAGAGAGAGAGAGAGAGAGAGAGCATATAAAATGGAAATACATTTATGGCATTTTAATTCACTAACATGATAAATGTTCTTTCAATTCAATTCACTATCTTTTTTTTTCTTTTCCTCTGTCTTTCAAGAAGAAAGCGATCATCAAGAATAGATGCTTCCCCTTCTATGGTACACACAAGGGACCTTGATGGTCACAAGTTTTATCTTAACACAATGATCATGAAACTACAAAGGAAAAGAGGTACATTATCTTCATGACCATGAAATTGGAGTGAATAGAGCGAGGAACTCTTTACTCTTTCTTATACGAAAAGTATTGGTGGGAAGCTATGCAGATTATTTTCCAACTTCAGGAGTCCTATAATTCATTGGATGTATTCTTCATAGTAGTTATCACTTATCACAGAAACGAACCTCTCGAGCCAAGGAAGCTGATGAAGATCTTTCATTGCATCTACGTAGGAATCTGTACAGCGGGGTGGGGATTGGTAAGGGGGGTGGTCACTTAAACTGAAACCCCCAGCTAGGAACCTCTGGATCAGTGCCAACTGTGATCTCTCTTGGTCTGAGTATGCGTCCATTATCATGGGAAGCGAATTGAATGTTTCCCATGCCCATTGCTCAGATTCTTGCATAGACTGAGTAACCAAGTCTTCTGTGTTGTTGTTGTCTTCATCCCAAAAGGCACATTGACAAGTCTGTTGGCCATTCCTATATTCAGCACCACATGAATAACAGAACTCATGCCTACACCTGAAAATGAGCAACATGAAAAGCTCAGTAAAGATTCAAGAGCTGCTAATGAAAAGTAGACTTAACATGGTGAACATAACATTCTTCTGTATTGAACATGTGCAAATGTATAACAGACATAAGCATTACAAACAAAGGTGATTAAACTTAAATTTTACTCATAGAACATCATATGCTCCTTGTTTACATGTGCATATGCATAACGGATGAAAGCATCACAACCAAAGGTGAAACTACAGAACATTTTTCGTATTCAAATAGTCAGGTTATGATTCAATAAAACCAACTAAAGCTGTCTTAATTCAATCAGCTTTAATCATAGTCAGGTACTACTAGAGGTTCTCCTACACACATTTTGCCCTCTGCATAGGGTGACACCATTTTGTCCAAGCGAGTATAAAAAATTGTATTTTGAAAAAAATTTCTCAAACAAAAAAGAAGCCTGAGATCTGAAATGATTAAGTAGTTTCCATTTAGTTCAACTGTCACAGTATTTGAGTTTAACACTTTAACCATAAGTATGAGTTACAATTCATAGTCAATTGAGTCCATATGGGGTTCTCAACCCACTCAGTCAATGTTTTCAATAATACAACAGTATGTGCAATGAAAGTGATCTTACCAGCATGTCATGTGGTAGCAACCTTGGGTGAGCTCGATCATCCTACGACACTGCTGGCAACGTCTCCAGCTTTTATTTTGTGCTAGGCGATGTAAGGTAATGTCTGCAGCATCTCTCTCTTCCAATGGGAGGTTTTGGAACTCCTCACAGCTCATAGATGAATGCCAAGGAACGCCACAATCTACACAGATGAATCTCTGACAAACTGGACAGTCAATGCAGCTGTTATCTGACTGACTTGATGAACTTGCCCTAGCTGACAAACATTCAAGAGGATCAAGCAGGACAGAACAATTTGGATATGGGCAGTAAATTCTATCTGAGTGGAGAATATTTGCTTCTGCGAGGGCTTTCTCCAATGATTCATAAGAAGTGAGTGGAAGAAAAGATTTGCACTCAGCAGTGGAGATGTAATACTTGCATCTCGGCTGAGGACATCTGATGGGGACTTGTGAGGACTGTACCTTCCCATCAACGTATGTCCTCATGCAATGCGAACAGAACTTATGAGAACATTTCATGGTGATCATCATTAGGGATGGTTTATCGTCGCAACAGATGGAACAGTTTTCAAGTGATTCAACACCCTTATCAGGAAAAGAGACAACTCCAATTGCCACTTGGGCTAATTTTGATGGCCGCTCAAGATCTACAGTGGGGACAAGTTTCAGAACAAACGAATCGAGATGACTGGCATGCTCTAGGATCCTTTGCCTCAGCGCTACTAGGAGTGGAATTTCAAGTTTCTGCTCATGTGACACCTGTCAAAAACTCATGTCATTAAAGCAAACTTGACATGAAAGAAGACAATTTGAATAATTTAATGCTAGTGCTACAACTCAAATGAAGTAAGGTGAAATAATCCTCAGGAGCAATCACTCAAAGTGTGTTGCTGAAAGTTAAAAGGTTTTATCCATCACTCAACCTATAAAATTGTGTTGTTAAAAATAATGTTGACCCCTTTTTTCGTCAATAAATTCATGCGGTCACAAACGCTGAAATTGCAATGGATAATTTGGCAAGGAACTTATGAAAATCAGCCACCAAAAATCAAGGCTAGCAAAATTATTGGCTTCATATTTAATACGTCTTCTAAAGTGGTAACCAAAATGAACAAAGAAAGTTAACTCTTTCACAGAGAAGGACTCACCTGATCATATAGCAGCTCAGAATCTGTGAATGCATAAACCCGGCGGACTTTATTTTGCACAGCTTCCATTAGGCCATCCATCAGGGCTAAATAGTCAGCCACAGGCTCCTCCACATAAAAATCAAGCCTTTTCTGCACCTGAATTGCAGGAACATTGGTTGACCTTTCCATGACAACTCCAATTCCAGAAAGCCCGAAACCTGAGTCCCCATACCCAGCTATGGACATGCCTTTGAAGAACATCTTCACTGAAAATTCATCGAGATCATCTTTTGGATCCACCTTCACCGGTTCTTCGGTCTCCTTCCAAACTTCATCATCTTCGCAACAACTACGAAACTCTTCTTCATCTTCCTCTCTTAGTAAATTTACAGAAACCTCATCACCAAAACTTGCCTGACCCTCCATTTACACAACAGCTCTGGAATTCTAAAACTTGAAGCTGTGATTGTTACCAAAATCCAACTACAACTCGTCAACCAAACAATCTGAAGCTCTGTACTTTCAGCAGTCAAATCTCTCAAAATCACAAACAACAATTCATTTCAATCACTGATCTTTCAGAGCCTATCTCCAAATCATCATACAAAAAAAACACCCTCCAAGGAATCGATCCAGAACTGCAGCCAATTGTAGCATCACCTCCACCTATAAATACCACAAAGAAATACTGATCTCAGACAGTAATCATTCAGCTCCTAAATCCAAATCGATAAACAAGAAAAACCCATCAACGAATTCATCCAAATGAGCCAAAAATCCGTGCTTTACCTTATTTATGCCCCAAATCCCAAAAGATACATAATTGTTAGCTCTTCCACATAAACAAAAATCAACCCAAAATAGAAAGAGAGAGGGCTAATTTTCATCCCTCCAAAACTGTACAAAATTTCAAAGCAATTTTTTGAAAACCACAATGAAGAAAAGAAAAGGATAAGATACAGAAATAGGAAAGGGTATCATATCGGAAGGGTGACTGGGCAAGAACGAAGTACAGGTTCCATTACCTTATCCGGAGGGAACTAAAGTCTCCGGAATCAGATTCCTGTTGGGGTCTGAAATCTGAAATGGTGTCTTGTAATTGTAGCAAAATGGTAGAATAATAAAAACCCTAATCTGACAAATTTCAACCTTTGGTGCCTCACCCACTTACAAGATGCTGTTTTTATTCTATTCTTTTACTGGGATTAGATGAAAGATGAAAGATTTTATTACTAATTAGGATGGTGAGAGCTGAGAAGAGAATCCTTAGACTTACTATTGCAGTTATTGGCGTGAGAGGAAAGTTAGAATGCCTTTGGCCTTTTGCTTTGTTGGCATTCTCTCTCCTTCCTAAACACATGCACTTTGGATTTCTTCAATTCTCTACTTGCCCTTTTATTTTCTCCATATTTACCCAAAAAATACAAAATATCCTTGATTTTTTTTTATATATTTGCATACTTATTAAATGCAAGATTCCCTTCTTTTAATTAATAAAATTACTTTTTTTTTTAAGTTTGTTCTTAATTTTCTCAATATAATCTATCGGTATTTGTCTTCAGTTAATTGGATGAAGTCTCAATT